AGTAAAAAGGGGAATCTGGAGGGAGTATATAACAGAAGCCATTTCTAGTGGCCCCACTGGACTTAGGTGAGTATTCAATGGGACAACAATTTCAAATATGACAGGAGCTCTAATTATGATTATACTAGTTTCTCACTCAAGTTTCAATGACTTCACGTACAGCAGTCACGTAGTTTGTTTTCACCTCAGTAACAGGATTTATTACTTACAGTGGAGAATAACAGTAATTGGATATATCCAGTGCAAGATTTTGAGAGAGATCTTAAGGATGTTACAGGATGTGGTATCAGACTGAATTAAAAACTTCTTTAGCAGGTGTTGAAAGCAGGCCACCAGCACTAAACACAAGGACAGTGGTGTATAAGCTTTGATGTCTAGGGCTGGCAAAGTGAGCTTAACAACTTTCGCTCCTCAAAAGTCAACATCTTCTCATACTTATTTTATAGGAATGTGCAGATGTAGGTGTCAGCTTAATATTAACTGTAAAAAACCTGGTATTAGACAGGATCTCCTGGAGCTAGGCAAGTTCAGACTGAAGTGACTAAAGTGAGAAATTACCCTGGATGGCAAGGGAACTCTATTCTGTTATTGCAGAATAGACTTTATTTCAGTGTGTTACTGATCAGTATTTATTTTTCACAGTCTTGCAATAAGGAAACAGAAATGTACTTATTGGAATGAGAATAGGTGAAATGCAATAAGGAAAGGTGAGCTATCATGGAAAGATGAAGGGGATCAACCATGTAAAGGCTGCAATCACTCTTTCATTTACCAGTCTGTCTCCTTTCTCAGAATTTCATCTTCAAATTGTTCACCTTTACCACAAAATTTTTGTGTCATAGTTGAAACTGGCATATAAAAAATAATGCTTTTTTTCTTGCTAGGGAAACAAGATCTAACCTGGGCTGCTTCTGTTTAAGGTGCAAAGGCAGTGAACTTGGCATAAGCCTCATCCAAAGCCCACAATAAGAAGCAGAATTCTCTCTGCCATGTCTTTGGTATTTTTGAAGTGTTTATTACCATTCAGGGCTTTGATTGTGTTTACTTTTTGTGAGAATTTTCTCAGTTTTGATTTGTGGAAGTTTTAACGCCCTTATTACCATCCCTGGAGTTTATTCTGAATTTGATTCAATGCATGTCAGAACTCACAGCTTCGGAAGAAATGCACTGAACTTGCCAAATATCAGCTCATTAGACAAAACCTTCACTTTTGGCATCTGATCCTGGTTAGTTGCACGGTTTGATTTTCAGACAAATGAACAAAATATCCTAGATATGCTTACAACTGATCTGATCTTTATACAGAAAAATCCATGAACTTTGTTAGGAACTCTAGATTTGCAATGAGTACAGATAAGTTTTATTTGGCATGGTTTTGCTTCATGCACGTTCACTTGATTTTAGAGATATTGGAATGGAAAAATCTAAACACAACCACTTCTGTAGTTATGCCAGCACAAACACATCCCTATTCCTTGTCATTTGGAGCTTAACAATAGAAAAGTCCGAGACAAAAAAGGAAAACGCAGAATCTTTACACATTTATGCCAAATCTGTTCTGTTTGTGCTACTCTAAGATTTAAAATGCTAGATAGAAGTGTTTCTGCACTGTGCTTGAGCTGATCTAGAGGCAACAAACTGGGAGCTTTTGCCATTTTAAAAGACCTAAAGAGTAAAGATTGAATTAGTCTCTTGGATGTCTTATGAATGTGTTAGAAACTGTGAGTTAGGATGTGTGTTCCAGTAAAAAATAGACCCAGGATGGGTTATGGTGTTCGTTTATGGTGTTAATTACTGTACTTTTCCTTTTTCTACAATCAGCCTTCTTTTCAGGTCAGCTAAAAAGGTAAACAAGGCAAGAATTTGATTCAACACACATCCTGAGCCTACTATAGCAGCTATGAGGTGTAGGAAACCTAAGCCACACAACATGCAGACCTTGACATCTGCAGCACACAAGCTCTGAACAGAGCCGTGCTTACTAGTGCAGATGAAACAGGGGGCCTAGAAACAATAGGAATATAGATACATAAAAACCTCTCTATAAAAGGCTATGCACTTTTTCAAATCAGCAGATACATTTACTACTTAATTTTTTTAAATGGGCTAAATAATAAGGAAATTAATTTCTCCTTCATGGGAAAATTGGACTTAAAAGTCATGAATCTGTACACTTAGGGGAGAGCTCACATCAGTTTCTTATTTTACTGCTTTCTTAGGTTCTCCAGACTCCCTTTCAACAGGGTCCTCCTGCTTTGATGTCTTGCTCTCTACCCAGATTGCCAGAAGGCTTTCAGTTGCAAATGCAGGTGTTTTCAACTGTTAGATATAGTTGTGTTGTATTATTCATCACTTCAATTAAAAACCATATTAGTAAGACATTTATTTTACACAGAGGACAAAACAGGGATAATTGGAAAGACAGCACACTGTATGTAGAGGAAGATGCTGTTTAGTGAGACATGTTTGGCAGCTGAGGAGCCAGGTTTGCATCTACCTTGCTGCTTTGCATTTGTTTCATATATCAGTCACTGAACCTTTAAAGCACTGTTTTTCTAACAGTCTGCCTTCCCCATCGAGCTGGTATCTGAAACTAATTAAACATGGCTTTTAAGAAGTACAACTCTCTTCACAGATAGCACCTACAAATCATCAGTGCATGCAAGGGTTATTTTCATGTTGGTATTTTTTCCTAGTTTTTGGTTTAATACTTGGGGAAAGTGGCGTGTGTGAAGCCAGGTCTTCCCTGAGCTGCTGAGAATTACTAGAAATGCTGGTGAATGCATCTGCACCTCAAGGGCTTGTTACACAATAAAATGAACACCTTGGTCTTTCTCCCGGCAAGGAGAGTTTCTCTGTAACACTTGCCCTGTCATTCAGAGATAGCTCTGTGTGCCATGTAGACAAAGCAGAGGGATGTCCATAGAAGATGATGAGTTATGACTTTGCTCAGAGTTAGAGATATGCAGTAACCCTGCTCTTAATGCTGCCAGCTGCAGAGGGCTGCTATTCACCTTTCTGGTCTGCTCACCTGCTTCAGAAATGGGGGCAGAGCATTGCCAGTGAGAAAGAGCTAAAGCTGGACAGTGAAGCAGTATAAAAGATATGTACCAAAGATGGTAAAGGGATGAGGGAGAATCAGGGCAGGGCAGGATGAGGAAAAGGGCATAAATAAAACCTTCAAAAGCAGGTAAAATACCAGAGAATTATTTTTCCCTTCTTCCCATACAATATTCCTGATCTTTCTTTCCCTCTGTCAGCCTTCCCTAGCTGGACATTATGCTCTGTGCACACCCATCTTCCAGGACACCCTGACAGGCTCCCATTTTAACACCTAGTAACCCCGTGTGCTTTGTGTTAGTTAACACAAACGTGGTCTTGGGCTGTTAAATGACAGTAAAGCAGTTCCATATTTCATACGACTCAAATGTTCAGAGGCACCTTTTTGATCTGCGTGCATTTGCTCATGAAGACATGATACTCTTCTTTCGTCTTTCTTCTTCTCCACAGAAGCCTCAGCAAACGGGCATGCTTAAAAAGCACACTGCTTAGTACTAGGAGATGGGAATCTCTCTGGCAGCCACCTCTTCACACTAATAACACTGCCAGGTAGTGGTAAAGCCTGTTGTTTTACAGCTCCAGGTTGTGCCTGACTGGAATGGAGGGTTGTTGAGTTCAGTGCCTTGACACTGGTCAAGAAAGCAGCAAATCATTTTATCCTCATGGATGTGAGGGAATTCTTCCTTAAAAGCAGGTCTCATTTTAACTTCTGGAAAACGTTTAAATTCTGGTTTCTGGATTTAAAACAAAATAGCCTCTGAAAAGTTTACGGCAGTGAGGAATATGGTAACGCTTCTGTTACCTGTTAAGTGTACCGTCTTCTGTTGAGTCTTGCTGGCTTCCTGGCCTCAGTTGTCTTCTTTGGTAGTGAATTCAACCACATACAATACAAATGATACCTACAACAAAATTGTGAGATACCAGGGACCAGACTGACATTATTCAAAGCAAACAGAGACTGGATTTTTAATTAATTCTTATCTTTCACTAATTTCTTTCTTCAGGTCGTGTTTCTTCCACAAAGTCCAGAACTGTTTCTATAGGCTTATAGTCTGACACAGGCAAAGGGGAGGAGGTGGGATTTACATGGTTTAAAAGGGCTTTACTTCTGCTGTGGCTGTAGAAGTGGAGCACAGCTGGTCTTGCTGGGCTGAGTGGATGGTGGCCTGTGAGACACTCATGTATCAAAAGGCGCGTTCCTTGGCGGGCCATAGCTGTGCTGTGCTCCCAGCCACCCTCAGCCTTCCACCAAGGTTTTCCCAGGAGAGCTGCTGGAGCTCGTGGCCGTGCCAGGGCCAGCCGAGGTGGCCAAGAGGTCCAGCGGCTGTCACCACCGCAAGGCCCGCTGTTGGCAAACCGAAAACACGGATTTTCCCTCATAAGGGCTGCGTTAAGCTTTTACAAACTGCCCTCAGGCCATAGCTCCTCGACCATTTTGGGGCGAGTTGCTGAAATTCATACATTTTGCCGGTGGGCTGGGCTGAGAGAAGCCTGCGTGCAAGGCTGCGCTCTCCTCGCACCTCTCGCCGCCTCGGCCAGGCGAGGAACGCCCGGACCGCGCCCGACTCGGGGCTCGGTCGCTGCCCGACGCCAGGGCGGGCTGTGCCGAGCCGAGCCGAGCCGAGCCGCGCAGAGCTGAGCCCAACCGAGCCGTGCCCGGCCGCGGAGCCCGCACATGCCCAGTGGCGGCGCGGCTGACGGGGCAGGGGCGGGCCCGGTGCGGGGGGCGGCTAAGCCCGGCTCGGCTCGGCTCGGCTCGGCTCAGCGCGGCCCGGCTCGGGGCGGCGCGGCGGCTCCCGCCTCACCCGGGCGATGCCTGAGCGCGGCGGCGGCGTGCAGCGGGGGCGGGCGGGTAGCGGCGGCGCGGCCGCAGCGCTGCTGCCCTGCCTTTCCCTGCCCGCGCTGGCCCTTCCCCCGCCCCTCCCCGCTCCGGTGCGCGACTCAGCCGCCGCTCCGGGCAGGGAGGAAGGGCTGGGAGCCGCCTCCCGCTGCCCCCGGCCGCCCCCTCCCCATGCAGCCCGGCCCGCCGCTGGGAGCCCTCCCCGGGGGGATGTTTCTGCGGCCGCTGCCGGGATAACCGGCGCGGCGCCCGCCCCCGCCCCGGACGGAGGATGCTGCCCGCGCCGTGGCGGGTTCCAACTCGGGCAGCAGCGGCCGCGTCCCCCTCCTCGGCTGCGGGCAGCGTCGCCGGGGAGAGATGAGTTCACGGCACCAGGCGGACTGGATCCCTTACAGGTAGGGGGGACCCTGCCGGGGGGCGGCGGGTGGAGCGGAGGCACCGGTGCTGCCCTCTGGGCGGGAGCCGCTGCCCCTCAGCGGGCTCGGGGGGTCACCGCCGGAGCCTGTGCCTCGTCCGCGGGGCCGGGGCGGCCGGACCCCCGCCCGGGTGGGGCGGCGGCGGGTCCCGCCGCGGGGGAGCGGGTCGTGGACCTGCCCGGGTGGGTGCTCCCGAAGTCGGGGACACTGTCCCGCCTCCCAACTTCGGGCCGGTGCCGCTCCGCGAAGTTGGGGGCCGGTCTCGGGGAGAGCTGTCAGCCCCGCGGGCAGAGCGGGCAGCCGCGCTGCCCGGCCCCGGCCCCGGGCGGGTGGAGCGCTGCGCCCTCGGTGGCGGCCGCCGCCCCTGGGGCAGCCTCGGGGAGCCGGCCCCGCGCTGCCCCCGCCGCCGGCCGGCTCCGGGAGCGGGGCTGCGGGGCGGGCGGGCTGCGGGGCGGCTGCGGGCGGCGGTGCCGCCATGGCGGGGAGCGGGATCGCCATGGCAGCGCCCGGCCCGCCGCTGCCATTGGCTCCGCCGTTGCCATAAGCTACGGGAGCCGCGGCGCGGCGGCCGCCCGGGAGGGAGCCCCGGGCTCCAGCGGGCCCGGTCCGGCCCGGGGTGTGCGGAGACCCCTTGCCCTCCTCCGCCGCACAGCCCTGTCCTGCCCCGAGCGCCCGCCCCGGGTTTGGAGCGGGAGCGTTTGCCGCTGTAACCAGGGAATAGTTTGTGTCTGACTTGCCGGTCCGAGGAGAAACCGAGCTAAAGGTCTCGCTCCGGGCGGGATGGGCTGTGTGCCGTGGAACAGTGATAAGGCCGGTTCTGAATCTGCTGTTCGGAGTGACATTAACGTTATGGGTTGATGTTTGGTGTTTTTTGTTGTTGTTGTTGGGTTTTTGTTTTGAGTTTTCTTTAAAGTATCTTTTCCAAACTGGATTATTACATAAAGAAATCATGCTCTTCTGGATACGACATCACAGCATGTCTGTTTCGTTAGTTTATTTGTAAATAAACCGAGGTAGATACAGCAACATAAATATTTGTTTTAAATGTTGGTGGAGAATCATGGAATTAAAAATATTTATAGAATAAAATTAACTAATATTAACAAAAACATGTGTTTAAGCAGGTCAGCTGTAGTTTGCCCCATTCTCAGTGGCAGCGTTTGTAGCAGGCGTATGCCACAATGATTGTAACATAAACACAAATAAATCACTCCTTGTACAGGGAAAACCTCCCCACAATAGATTTTTTTGATCTGTGCGTGTGATAGTTCAAATCAATAAAAGGATCAGAAAGAAACCTGATTACAGTGAACCTGAGAATATTGCCACTCTCTCTCCAGTAGCACTTTCAGCCCATGTGATTTGAAAAGACGTAAGGAATTGGCAATAAGGCTTCAAAAATGACTCGTGGATGCATTCTGATGCAATTTGAAGCCTTGTAATGAAGGCAGAAATACCAGAGGAACAGCTGTTCATGGCTCTTCCCAGCAGCAGTAGAACAGTTTCTCCACTCTCGCTGTACACAAGGCTCTGCAGAGGCCAATGCCAAAACTTTGCTGAGGGTTTTTGTAGCAGTGGCCTTGAAGAAGGAAGTAAAACATCTCTTCTTTTTCTGCTCAGTGCAGCTCAGAGAAGCAAAGGGAGGCAAAGCACTAGATTTTCAGAGAAACACAGATTTGATGATACTTGTGTCTTTTCTAATATAGTATTCTTCTTGAATGTTAACCACATGTTTTATGGCCAGGAACTGCTGAGGACCACCTGAAACCAAAAGGCAACCGAACCATGCTCCTGCTCTGAAATGTCTTTATTTAAGCTTCTAACATAGCATTCTCTCATGAATTTGACTCCTTTTTCAGTCTTCAGAGCTAATTCATGAGTTAGAGGCAAATCTCATTGAACTTGAATGTTTAAAGAATCCTTCAGGATCCCCTAAACTTACTTTCTGAGGAAGCAATAGTTTCTGAATGCATATGTGACTGAGTTTACATGCGTAAACACTGTATTAGTAAATCAGATCAAAGTACAATTTTGTAGGAGTGGAATACACAAGAAGAGGAAGAGACCTGATGTGCACCCCTTGGAATAGTTTGTCTTCTCTCTGAGAGCGAAATGTCTCACACTTATCTGCTCCATTGCTTCAGATTCTTGTTTACTGTAGTGAGTTCAATCCTTGCTAACTCTCAGAGCCTGGAGGCCAGTTTGCCACCTTCTTTATGGTCTGGGTGACATGTGACAGCCAACAATGTCACTGCTGCTAGTGTAGGGGACAGAGCACAGGCTGTTGGGCATGCTGAAGTCTGTAAAGACATACGTGACATAGCCTGAGCTCCGCTGATGTGCAGTCTGCTAGAAAATGCTGCAAGTCCATCTCTGAGCTTGGCAAAACAGTTTCAACTTTGGCATGGACTTTGAAATGGTAGCGTAACTCCTAAACCTACACTGTTCCTCCTAGCAATCGAATGTACATGCAGTTATATACCTGAATTAATTCATGCAGAGAGGTATTTTATTTTCTTTAGTAAAATGCCATATTTTTCCTTACGAGTGAAATGAGGCAGAGGGAATCAGTTCCATGTGTGTCGTGCACAACTCATTAAGCAATTCACCTTCATGTCCACAACTCACAAACTTCTACTTCCCCTTTTAAGATACTGAGAACATTTTGAGTGAATTAAGAAAAAGTAGTAGGCAATTCTTTCAGTGTCAGTGCTGGATTTTCATGCTGAGGTGGATAAAAGATTCGTATTATTTGTGAGTTTGCAATTTTAGCATTTTACCCTTAATGTCTTTTCTTCTCATATGTATTCTGCTTTTGAAACACTAATAGTCATAGGATGAGGAGATTTGGGTTTGTTAATGTTATGAAAAATAATTGGGAAATTGTTTTTTAAAAGTGAATGTATTGTATTTGTTTTCATGGAACACGTTTCATATATAGGAATTCAAGCATATGATTAGGCACTTGCATGAAGCTACACACCAGGTACAATGGCCTAGGAATTCTTCTTTAAATTGAACCCATTTTTAACAGTGTCTCTGTTCTTTATTTTAAGAAATCAAAATACTTTAGACTCAATTAAAAAAAGCAGTTGCAGTTCATGTAGCTGCCCCAGCCCCAAAAGTGGTTTCTAATGGCAGTTAGGAATAAGATGTAGTTCCTTGAGGAATTATGCTCTCAAGCACAGTAGTGTTTTCCTTTGGTATCCTTCTGCAGTTTCCAGTAAAAATACAATGCAGAAGTGTCTGGGAATCATTACAGATTCATGGGAGTTCCATTTTTGTTCAAAAACATGTTTTGGTTTCATATCTTTTTCCTTAACTCATTTTTAATTTATAAAATTTCTTAAATTAACATACTCATTTTTATTTTATGCTGGTGTGTCTTGAATAAGTGAACATGTTCACCATACTGTATTACTACAGTCAAATGAAACTGTTGCTCGCTAAGATAAAAGTATCAAATCCAGTCACAGAGAGGTCCCAGTCCCTATTATTTATTCTTATATTTTCATTTCCTTCTTAAAGTTCAACTACCATAACTTAAAAAGCAGCATTTACCAAACCAGCTAACCTGTTCCACGAGAAAAATATCAACACTGTCACCTAAAAAGCGCAAGCCACGTAGGAATCAATTTGCTGCAAGTCCCCAGAGTTCTCTGTAAAGTGCCTGTGTGCTGCTGCTGAGCCTTGACTTGCGTGGCTAAACCTGCAGTAGCCCCAGGGGAACCCGTGGGCTGTGCCGTGGGGGGCCTGGCACTTCGCACGGAGGGCGCTCTAGAAAGCAGATCACACAGCCTGCATTTGCAGTGGCATAATGTGTCCTGATACGTACATGATGATGGCAATAATATCGTTATTTTATTTGTGACAGGTTTTATTATGCTCAATTTTTGTAGCTTTCGTGAATTTGCTCTGAGGTTTTAAGGCTGTGCTTAGATATTGCAGCTATAAACAGTCACAAGTTATTTGCTTGCAAGGGGAAGGATGAAAATTACGGAGCACAGCTGCGCTGTAAATTCATGAATCATGGCAATTAGGGCAGATAAGAAGATTTCTGAAAGTGTGATGTGTAAACAAGTCTTGCAACAAGAACGGCCTTGAAGACCAAGGGTGTCCCACACTTGTTTTTGTGCATGTAATCGAGGCATTGGGATATTTTCTGTGCTTAAGCTTTGACATTCTAAAGGCAGCAGTGCAGGTACAGTGCTCACCTTGCTGCAAGGTGCAGTTTGTGACTGGGTGCATTGCAATGCAGGCAAGCTCGAGCTCAGCTGCCTCCTGCTGAATGGCATGGATAATGTATGAGAGCTGCTTTTTCTTAGGAAAAGGGTACAAAGAGCGTGTCTCTCCTCTTCTCTGAACTAGGCTGTCTTGTCTCGGGTTATTGTGATGTATAAAATTAGCCTAGTTGTGTGCTTTTAGAACATTTAAGTTAGAGCTCTCCCTTCATGGAGCTCTGCCCTCTTGCAAAGGGTGTTCCTGCTGTAGTGCATGGAGACTCCCGTGAAGATCAAAGGCCTGGTTTGCCCAGCATCAGCGTGAGGGAGCTGTACAAGCACATCCTCATAGGCAGTTGTTACCCTGACGCTGGTAGCCTAAATCAACCAGGCAGAAAAGAAAGGCGAGGAAAATAAGTCTCACTTTAGTTTTACCAGCAAGGGAAATTGAGACCTGTGGAAGTTGCAGTGAATTGGCTTAAATGGAAATGGGACAAGGCTCAAGGGAGATGAGCTGCAGAGCAGGGAGTGAAACCTAGTTGCCTCGTGCTTTGCAGTGTGCCAAAGGTGGATTTAACTAAGGGACTGAAGGGGCTCTGCCACCTCTTGCAGGGTACCCATTGGGCCTTATGACAGTAAGAGGCTGTACCAACTGTCCTGAGGTACTGCCACCCCCTACCACCTTTGTGGAATCAGCAGCCAGATCGAGACTAAAACTCCTTTTCCAACAGGCCAGTGGGTTTCTGGTAGCAACGATCA